GAATTTCTGAATTTCTGAATTTCTGAATTTCTGAATTTCTGAATTTCTGAATTTCTGAATTTCCGAATTTCTGAATTTCTGAATTTCTGAATTTCTGAATTTCTCAATTTCTGAGTTTCTGAATTTCTGAATTTCTGAATTTCTGAATTTCTGAATTTCTGAATTTCTGAATTTCTGAATTTCTGAATTTCTGATTTCAGAATTTCTGAATTTCTGAATTTCTGAATTTCTGAATTTCTGAATTTCTGAATTTCTGAATTTCTGAATTTCTGAATTTCTGAATTTCTGAATTTCTGAATTTCTGAATTTCTGAATTTCTGAATTTCTGAATTTCTGAATTTCTGAATTTCTGAATTTCTGAATTTCTGAATTTCTGAATTTTCGAAATTTCGGATTTTTGGATTTCCAAAATTTCGGATTATTGAGTTTTGTTGAATTTCTGAATTTATTTGAATTTCTGAATTTTTGGATTTCCAAATTTCAAAATTTCAAATTTCGCGCCAAATCACCCAAAACTTCATTTTCAGCCCATCAATGAGTACACCCATCTACTAACTTCATTTTTTTGCACTCTTTTCACATTTTCCATCAATATCACTATGCTGATAAAAGTTCGCCATATCTTGTTTTATAAAAAGTGAGTTTTTTGAATTTAAGATTAAAAAAGTTTTTTCAAAAAATTTTTATCAGATCCATCAGCAGAAATGCAAATAAAAATTACAAGGCGGAATTATCACTGACAATCACTATGATCTCTTTATTTGTCCCATTTTTTATCAATGCACTTATTGTTGTGAGTTCTTTTTGGGTTCTGAAATGTCTGGTTCCGAAATGACTGGTTCTAGAATGTACAATTGCAAGATAACCGATTTTTTGGAGGTCTAGTTGCGAAATAGCCGGTTCTGAAATGTCGGGGTTGCAAAATAGCCAGTTCGAGAACTTCTAGTTACCAAATGACTTGTTCTAAAGCGTCCGGTTACAAGATGTTTGGTTCTAAAACGTCTTGTTGCGAAATGACCGATTCGAAAACGTTCTAGTTGCGAAATGGTCAGTTTTGAAGCGTCCAGTTGCAAAATTACCAATTCAGTTCTGCTTGCGAAATGACTGGTTGCAAAGCGTCCTGTTTCCAAATGACTGGTTCTGAAACGTCCAGTTGCGAAATAGCCATTTCCAGAACGTCCGGTTCTAAAATGACCAGTTCGAATGAATTATTCTTAAGCGTCCGGTTAAAAAGTTTACTGTTCTAAAACGGCATGATGCGAAAAGAACAGTTAAGAATGAAACTAATTGAACCATGAAATTTGTATCTTTGTAGTCTAGTATGAAAAGAGAGATAATAATTTTTGAACTTTTGAAAATTAATATGTATCACACGAAAAATGCAAGTTCGAAAAACAAGAAATTCAAAAAACTCAATTTTCTAAAAAATAAACAAAAAATCTTTAATAATTCTGAAATCCAAAAAAATCTGAAATTTCTGAAAATTCAAAAATATAAAAGTTTTGAAACTTTCGCTTTTTCAAGATTGACTGGTAGGTATTTTTTCAGACTTTTCAAGATTTTTAGAATTTTAGAATTTTAGAGTATTTTTTGAAAAATGGATTTTTCCTATAAAAACGAATTTTCAGAGTTTCTGAAATTCAGAAATTCAGAAATTCAGAAATTCGGAAATTCAAAGAAATATGAAAATGAAAAAAAATTATTTTTCAGGTTCTGGCCCTTCGAAATCCCTCCTTAATTGGTTATATCCTCTCAATTCGCCCAATTTTCATTGACACAGCTACCGTATTCGAACCATGGGCATTCTATTACACTCATCCAATGTTCAAAAGATACAAACGAAAAACTACAGTATCCAGCTCCCCAATTGCTATGGTTGTGTCCTCTTCTGGACATAGTCGATGACCCTTTTAAAATTCAAATTTCTACAGTAATCCTTATTTTTGGTAATCTGTAAAAAACGGGTATGAATCTTCTTTTTATTTTTTAAAGCACCTATTTGTCTCTGATAATTCAATTTTCTATTTTTCTATAGTAATTCAGTGTTTTATTTAAAGGTGGGGAGACATGAAAAAAATAGTGTTCTCGAAATTTCGTTCAAATATGCCCCTCGAGGAGTTGAACTTGTGAAGGCGAGGAGTGAGGGTGCGGCGCCGCTACCGACTGAGCCACGCGGGCAAAGAGAAAGCGCACGCCCGATTGCATACATAAAGGCGAGGACGACAGCTGTACGCAGAGTGACATTAAGCGTTGTACACCGTTACGGTAGAATGCATACTCTAGCTACAAAAAAACTACGAAAAATCTCCTGTCCCCCCACCTTTAAAAAAGAAACCAAATTTCTAAAGTAATCTGATCATTTTCTGATAAACGATTTTTTTTTATTTTTCTGAAAACTTCTACAGTGATCCAATGGGATAATGTCCTACAATAATCCAACTTTTTATAATTCAAATTATTAAAATTTGTTTTTTGAACAATACTTTCTAAAATCCGCAAAATAACCAATTGAACCAGAAAAATCGTATTATTTTTGTAGTCTAGTCTGAAAAGTCTGAAAATAATTTTTGAACTTTTGAAAATTAGAATGTATGATCAGTCACACAAAAAATGAGAAAAATTATAGGCTAGAAAATTTTGGAATTTTAGAAAAATCAGGTTTTTTAAAAATAGTGCATCGACCAGAAATTGAAATGTAGAATCCGCGAAATCTAACAATCCGAAAACCCCCAAAAAATACAGAAATTCAGAAGTTCAGAAATTGAGAAATTCAAAAATTCACAAAAGAAAGTTTTTGACGTGGAAGCGCTTTACACCAATATCGACAACAGAGCAGCATATCAGGCAGTGGTGGACAAGCTGAAGAAGAACGCTTCCGTAATTGATTGGTATGGAGATTCCTTCACTCATATTAAAATGCTCCTAAAAAGCTGCCTGGAGTTCAACGGGTTTCAGTTTGATGGCAGGATATATGAGCAGAAACGAGGACTCGCTATGGGCAGTCGTTTAGCTCCAGTTCTTGCCGTCCTCTACATGGATATAATTGAGACCCCGAGTAAAGTCCATCCTATCATTCTGTTCAGAAGTTATATCGACGACTACATCGTGGTAGCGGAATCTCAAGACACACTGGACAATATCTTCACATGCCTAAACAGTCAGGCGACACATATTCGTCTCACACGGGAAGCACCCAAGATGGACTGGTTATCGTTTCTGAACTGTGAACTCCGCTTCAAAAACAAGGTATTCTCTAGTAGGTGGTACCGGAAGCCCAGCAACAAAAACCTGCTCATACGAATGGATTCCGGTCATCCGAAACAACAAAAAATCAACTCCATAAGTACACTCAAAAAACGNCCACGAAAACTCAACGATTGACCAAAGGAGCTACTCTCGGAACCTAGCCAACGAGGTGCTTTTTCCAACGGTTATCCACCAAAGGGGTACCCTCACAAAATCAGTAAAATATATCGAAACGACTATACCACGGATAAAAGTAACATTCCCATCTTGGCAATCCCCTTCGTCTCTGACAGTGTAACCAATCTAGTGCGTTCATCTCTTAACCAAGTGCGACTGGAAGCTAGAGTGGTGGAGCTTAAAGGAAAATCACTTCGAGACCTTCTTGTAAAAAACCGGCTTTACGACGTCAGATGTACAAGAAGGCAGTGCCGTGTATGCCCAAATATTGGTGAAGGTGGTTGTGAAAGAAAAGGTACAGTTTATCAAATCGATTGTGATTGCGGGGAAATATATGTTGGAGAAACGGGACGCCCACTTGCCGAGAGGTTCAACGAACATTCCAGAGCTGCAGAGAAACCGGGGACCAAAGCCTATCTAGCTACAACTTGGGCTAAACACTCCAGGGAGAAGCATGGGGGTAGACCACTCAACATTTCGCTTAAAATTCTGGACATAGAGAGGAATACGGTTCGTAGGAAGATTTTGGAGGGGATACATATCAAAGCTAAAAACCCGTCTCTTAACACCAAGGAAGAACTAACGGACTTGGTTGCGGGTATGGGGGACCCTTTAAGTAATCTAGTCTTTACCTTTACTCCCATGCCGGTCTTCTTCAAACCGGGGACCGTGTTCTCTTCTTCCCCTCTTCTTCCCCTCCTCCCCTTTGAATATAGTGTGGCCGTCACAACACAACAACACAACATAAAATCAATAGTGATCGTTTTATGGTCCCATCACTTCCCAACCGAAATGTCTTCTTTTTCTTTTTCTTTTCCTTTTTCCTTGTCTCTAAAAAATTTTGTCTTTTCATCCCAGTTCTTTATGGTTCATTATTACCTTTCATTTTTACGGTTTTCTCTACCTCTACCTCACTCATCCCTACACCGGTTTGCACTTCTTCTATTCTCATTTTTTGTAGGTAATTGTCTCCTGAAGATGGCATAAAGCCGAAACGTTGAGAATAAATAATTTTTATTCAAAAATCGTGCCTCCAATCGATAAGGTCACCAAGAAGATTCTTCACACACAAGTTAAATCATAGAACTTCTAAAATTGGAGATATTTGAATTTTCTTTCTTCCCCAATTTTTTGAAAATTGGATGAGTAAAATAAAAATAACAAGTGACAATATGAGATCTGGCATCTGCTGAAAATGGTCTGATCAATTCAATAAAATCGATTCGATAATTTAAAAATTCGGAAAAAATCAAAATTTCCGAAAAAATCAATGGAAGAATGATCAAAATCATAGTGATAGATAGCGTTTTTTTCTCCTTTAAAATCCAATTTTTGATTTCGATGAAATGCGGATCTGAAAAAAGGCTTACTGTAAATGGAATTACTGTAGTTTAATGAAAATTACAATAATTTAATTTGCCGAAGTTTCCAGAATATTAAAATTGTTAAAATCACCAAAATGGAAGGGATGAATGGGTAGATTATGTTCTCCAGAATTTTATAAAGTGGCTGAAAAAATTATTTTTTTGAAAAAATATTTGTCAACCTACCGTAGCTCCATTCATACTAATTGGAGCTATAAGAATGGAGCCAAATGGAAATGGAGGCTTTTGTTGAAAACAAGACATTGGTTGAATATATCGGAAATATGATAAAATTGCTGATATCAAAAATATTATGGGTATAAGGAATTGGGTCCCCTTTGGGAGATTTTTTATCTGTAAAATAATATATGGAAAAGTTGAAAAGAAACTTTTTTGGATTTTGGATTTTAAAAGATTTTTAGGGTCTTTTTGTGATTATTGAGATTTCAGATTGTTTAGACTTACCAAGATTTTAAAGCTTCTGTCCGAGTTTTTTAATTTTTTTTAATTTTTCGAATTTTTTAATTTTCAAATTTTCGAAATTTTAAAATTAATTAGATTTACCATAGATCTGTGATTTTGAGAACCTTGTATTTTCAAAGTTTTTAGGGTTTCAATTATTTGCACTTTCGGGGATTTTCGGATTATTTGATTTTTCTCAAAAAATCACGATTTCTTAATTTTTGGGACTTTTGAGATTTTTTTTTGGGATTTTTAGGATTTTGAAAGATGTTTTTTTTTTTGATTTTTGAGATTTCTGGGATTTGTGGATTTTTTTGGGTTTTTGGATATTTTGAATTTTTTCAGAAATTCAGAAATTCAGAAATTCAGAATCTTCTGAATTTCGGAGTTTCTAAATTTCTGAGTTTCTGAAATTGAGAAATTCAGAAATTCAGAAATTCAGAAATTCAGAAATTCAGAAATTCAGAAATTCAGAAATTCAGAAATTCAGAAATTCAGAAATTCAGAAATTCAGAAATTCAGAAATTCAGAAATTCAGAAATTTAGAAAAGTGGAAAGCCTGAATTCTGAAACACCCGAAAATTGCAAATTTCTAGAATGTTCATAGTCTGTGAAATTCCAAAAATCCCAAAATTTTAGAATTTCTGAATTTTTTAAATTAAAAAAAATTCGGAAAGAAATACTTGATTTTTCAAAATTCCATAAAATTCAAACTCCAAAAAATTCCAAAAATCCAGGAAATCTGTACAACATCTAAAATTCAATTATTTCAAACTTCCTAAAAGTTTCTTTTAGTACTAAAAACTCAAAAATTCTAAATAATCCAAGAATCCAAATTTTTTAAAAAATTTTCCAAATTCAGAAATTCATATTTTACCACACCTTGCACAATTTCCCATTCATAATTTCCCAAAT